CCTCGTAGAGTTTTCATGTCACATTGCCCCACAGCAGGATTTTTAGCATTTGACGAAAACGCGACTGAATATCTTTGAATACGGTAGAAGCTCTAAAATCCGAATACTATAGTATCTGAAATTGGGGTAAAATTGACACGTATTGCATTGTCCTGAGATGAGAGAGGTCACATCATAACCCCGGGTCGAGCCCCCCCCCCCACCCCCCACCAAAAAAAAAAAAAACAACAAAAACAAACAGAGCAACAACAAAAAAAACAAAAAAACAAAAACATTTTATCCCGAGTCCGATCAAAGTCGAACCCATCGCCGAAAATCCCCGACAATGAACTTTGATGTTCAGGATCAAATATTTGTACACGATATTACAGTTACCATCTCTATAAGATGTGTTTGTTACAGTTACCATCTCTATAAGATGTGTTTGTTACAGTTACCATCTCTATAAGATGTGTTTGTTACAGTTACCACACATATAAGATGTGTTTGTTACAGTTACCACATATATAAGATGTGTTTGTTACAGTTACCATCTATATAAGACGTATTTGTTACAGTTACCATCTATATAAGATGTGTTTGTTACAGTTACCATGTATATAAGATGTGTTTGTTACAGTTACCATGTATATAAGATGTGTTTGTTACAGTTACCATGTATATAAGATGTGTTTGTTACAGTTACCATGTATATAAGATTTTTTTGTTACAGTTACCATGTATATAAGATGTGTTTGTTACAGTTACCATGTATATAAGACGTGTTTGTTACAGTTACCATGTATATAATATGTGTTTGTTACAGTTACCATGTATATAATACGTGTTTGTTACAGTTACCATCTATATAAGATGTGTTTGTTACAGTTACCATCTATATAAGACGTGTTTGTTACAGTTACCATCTATATAAGATGTGTTTGTTTCTTTAAATTAATTTTACAGTTAGGGTGTCGCTGATTAATAGATTAACCGGAGTTTTTACCAAATAATTGAACACTTTGGGTACGGTTACCAGAGGTCCGTATTAGGTACGAACAGTTTGTATCTTCGACCCCCTTGTCCGTACTAATTTTTGTGACCGTATTCGTCCGTACATTTCTCTCGTCGTCCTGTAGTATAGGCCAAAACGTGCCAAAGTGTCCTCGTTTTATAGCCATTTTAATTGTTTCTATAGTATAGTAGTTACTATCCTAATGTCTCATTTTTATTTTACTTAGTTTACATGTTTTTAATAATTGTAAAGCGCTTAGAGCTTTAAGGTAAGCGCTATATAAAAATGCCTAAATAAATAAATAAATAGACGTACTTTTGGCAGCTACGACTTGCTTGTCTTATTTCCATTAGTCTTATCTTATTTCTCCGCAAAAGTCAGCACAGTGAATAGTTTCAACGCCATCGGACAGTCCTAGAATAGCATATTTATATCTCCAATGCTGTAAAAATATCACGCAATGTTGTGTAGGAATCATCATCCCTATGTTACCATTTCTTGTCACAAATGAGCTACCGAGATATCGCTTCACTATTACACAGTAGTTGCAGTATTACAGTAATATTTTGTCCCCCCCCCCCCGTATCTTCAACGTGCCAGTTCAGTGGTTCCTAAAATGTTTCTATTCCCGGCGCTTATGCCAAATTTAGGTTTTCACCATTCTTTTGCTGCCCTCTCGGATACTACTTTTCAGAGGCGTAGCGAGGGGGGCGCATGGGGGTACAATAGTCCCCGGGCGCCAAAGTACAGTGGAGATGTCAATAACTTCGTGGCGTCATTTTTAGAACAGTAAAATCCTAGTCATTGATAGACATGAAAGAAAAGTAACTGACATATATTTTTAGGTACGAATATTTGGCTGGCGGCTGCCCTAATCGCTATCTTCCACAACTATTTGATAAAGAAGCCGCGTGTTGAATAGTTCAGACAGGCCAAGACACTGTGATACATGCTTTTTTTTTTTTGGGGGGGGGGGAGGGAGTTAAGTGTAAACCCTAGGACATGTTTAAGCAACCGCTATCTCAGATAAACATTCTATCTACCCCGTCCACGCGTGTTGAATAGTTCAGACAGGCCAAGACACTGTGATACATGCTTTTTTTTTTTTGGGGGGGGGGGGGGGAGTTAAGTGTAAACCCTAGGACATGTTTAAGCAATCGCTATCTCAGATAAGCATTCTATCTACCCCGTCCAGAGATTAACAGACTCTACGGGTTCAACAGCTCCCGTGCTACCTCTGATGTCACGGCCAGATTTCTGCATGTCTGCAGTTTTATTGATGCAGGCGCTGGTTTTAAACTCAAGATTTCTTTTTGTTTTTGTTTTTAAAAACCTGTAACTCGTCCGGGAATTAGTAATGACTCCTGTTTTTGCTGTTGGCGGCTTCTTTGGGCGTTTTCAGGTTTGTCCTCCACCCTTGGTATATTTCTCATTGCTTCTACCCAATGCAGTCTCCCCCCCGTGTTTCTCTTAATTCTCTTAGTGTTTAACTAACTTTTCTAAGAAATTATTTCGATTGAATATCGTTATGATTATGTCAAGTGAAATTACTCAAGTATTTCTTCTCGTTTGTTTTGCCGAAACGGATCTGGTTTTTTGTCTAGAATTAATTTTATAAACATTGAGATTGAAAAACGAATTTTAAAAATTCGCTATTTTTGACAGTGCACTAGTTAAAAATTCACATAGGGCGCCTTGAGGGAAAAACCGCTCGGTGCACCAAGGGCACCATGACTCGAAAAAGTTAGTGAAGATTTACACTAACCGAACTTTTTGTAATAAAATTTTTAAGAGCCAACATTTACATGCAGTAGGAATATGATAAGACAGAGACTGATGTGACCACGGGACGCTGGAGTCTTAAAAGCAATCTTTGTGATTTTTATTTTTTTTTTTTTATTATTATTTTTTTTTTACATTTATTTATTTTGTTTGTGTGTTTTGGATGGAAATCGAATCAAATTAAATCTACTAAAATTCCTAAATATGCATTGCAAGGACGTTGGGGGGTGTTTTACAACAACAATTGTAAAGATTTCGTCATTAACCCTATCAATCATCAAGATTAAAATGTGTTCATGTACTACTATCTGCACGCATGGACCCCGGTTTGATTGATTTCTCTCTTGCCAAAGGGATGATTTTTGTTTACTAACTAGCATTTTTTTTAAAAATAGATCTATATTTTATTATTATTACTTTTTTAAAACATTTTATTTCAACATATCCAAATTTTCACCACACATAGAGACACAAATGATTGGTAAATTTTGTACCCACCTAATTTTTAAATCTTTTAAATAAACTTCTCTTTTTGTCTCGTGGCTGGGTGAAATCTTCGGACGACTAATTGACCCACTTCCCGTCAACCTATCCAGCTCAATCTTGGCACACAGACTCGTTGCTAATGACGACAAATTCTATTAAATGTTCAGCCCAGCCCTTAAATATTAGTTTTTTTTCCCCGTTGTTCAAAGGGAAGGTGAAAGAAATATGATGACACTGGTTTCACGAAATAAAATTCCCGATAACTGCGCTAAATGAGATTATTTTTTAAAACAAGATATCACAGGTGCGTTTGGTGCGCAATGTTTTCTTTTGTCTTACTGAAATAGTTGTCGAGATAAATCTGCGGTGTAAAACGCGGGCGGGGCATTAGAATAGTAATATATAATAAAATAATTTTAAAAATGCATGGAAAGGATTTATAAGAAAAAACTC